ATAAATATTGTGAATATTAACAAGAACTATGCCATTTTTCTTTATAAAACCACAGTAAATCTTACCTGTTTCATCTGTAGCGGGATCATTCACCAGATCTGCAAAGACAGGTGACAAGGGATGAAAACAATTTCAGTTAGGAAAAGTAGCTAAGGAAGGCAGGAAAAGGGATGATAATCTCAAAGGATGCAAGAAAGGCTGAAGCGAAAGCATGTGGACTCAGGCAGATGAGGGACTATCACAGAAAGAAATGGAAGAGAGAAGAAGATTGGCCGGGCCCGGTGGCTCACGCCTGTAATCCCAGCACTTTGGGAGGCCGAGGCGGGCAGATCACAAGGTCAGGAGATGGAGACCATCGTGGCTAACACGGTGAAACCCTGTCTCTACCAAATATACCAAAAACATTAGCCAGGCGTGGTGGCACGTGCCTGTAGTCCCAGCTACTCGGGAGACTGAGGCAGGAGAATCGCTTGAACCCCAGAGGTGGAGGTTACAGTGAGCCGAGATGGCACCACTGCACTCCAGCCTGGGTGACAGAGTGAGACTGTCTCAAAAAAAAAAAAAAAGAAGAAAGAAAAGATTGGGCATGGGTACAGAGATGCTGGCATCTAAGGTGACATCAGAGCTCTGCATGAGCTCAAAGCATGCACCAACCCTTTTAAAGTCTTTATTTTTCTTTATATAGACATGCCCCTCAATCCATCTATCGCAGTAAAACAGCAATTCTTTTAAAAAGTGTAGCTTACTAGGATCTTCTGTGAAAGTTTCTGGAGTCACTGGAGTCACATCGTCTGAAAAGAAAATTAGAAAGCATTTTCTGAGACTCTCTGTCCCCCTGCCACCCTTGCACTTCCAATAAGTTAAATTGTGTAGCATAGTGCCCAGCTGAGTTGAGTATCCCACAATTGTTTTTCCTTAATTGCTCACTACAATCACAGTCCATTGACGACTTCTTTGCAATACTTATTTAAAATGAAATTGGCTATACCAAAGACATTGTAATGTTGACATTCATAATTCTGATATCATTGGCTATAAATTTGCTGATATGCTTATGAGTGTTCATAAAAGGTAGTATTAATTTTTTTTTTTTTTTTTGAGACGGAGTTTCGCTCTTGTTACCCAGGCTGGAGTGCAATGGTGCGATCTCGGCTCACGGCAACCTCCGCCTCCTGGGTTCAGGCAATTCTCCTGCCTCAGCCTCCTGAGTAGCTGGGACTACAGGCACGCGCCACCATGCCCAGCTGATTTTTTTGTATTTTTAGTAGAGACGGGGTTTCACCATGTTGACCAGGATGGTCTCGATCTCTTAACCTCGTGATCCACCCACCTCGGCCTCCCAAAGTGCTGGGATTACAGGCGTGAGCCACCGCGCCTGGCTATTTTTTTTTTTTAAGAGCCTCACTCTGTCACCCAGGCTGAAGTACAGTGGCCAGTCTTGGCTCGCTGCAACCTCCACGCAGGTTCAAGCGATTCTTGTGACTCAGCTTCCCAAGTAGATGGGATTACAGGTGCACACTAACACACCTGGCTAATTTTTGTATTTTTAGTATAGACAGGGTTTCACCATGTTGACCAGGCTGGTCTTAAACTCCTGACCTCAAGTGATCCACCCACCTTGGTTTCCCAAAGTGCTGGGATTACAGGCGTGTCACTGCGCCCAGCCGTGTTGATTTTCTGATGCTCATTGAGAAGAGAGGTGAAAATGGAGAGGGAAAGTGCCAATGTAAGTAGAGAATGGTTTGCATTTGATCATTGGAAAGCAAAGGCAGGAGGAAAAGAAATGAAAATGGTCCAGGTCTTAAGGTGGAATCTATTATATTAGGATAAACTGAGAAAACTATTTCTGAAACTGCAAATAACAGCACTTCCTAAAACCAATGGTCTCTACTTTAAAAAGCAAAATAACAAAACAGCATTAACATTTACTTTTATTTTTTAATTTACGTATAAATTATAGTGTATGTGTTTAAGGTATCCACCTGGTGGCTCACACCTGTAATCCAAGCACTTTGGAGGCCAAGGCGGGCGGATCACCTGAGGTTGGGAGTTCAAGACCAGCCTGATCAACATGGTGAAACTCTGTCTTTAATTTAAAAAAAAAAAAAAAAAAAAAGGTATCCACCATAACATTTTGATAGACGTGTATAAAGTGAAATGGTTACTACCGTCAAGCAAATTAACATATCCATATCCTCACTAGTTTTCTTTTTTGTATGTGTATAATATTGCACCTGAAATCTAGTCTCTTAGCAAATAACATTTAAATATTTAGTAAACAGGCCCAGCGCAGTGGCTCACGCCTGTAATCCTAGCACTCTGGGAGGCCCAGGCAGGCGGATCATCTAAGATCACGAGTTCAAGACCAGTCTGGTCAACACAGTGAAACCCTTTCTCTACTAAAAATACAAAAATTAGCCAGGTGTGGTGGTATGCACCTGTAATCCCAGCTACTCAGGAGGCTGAGACAGGAGAATCACTTGAACCCGGGAGGCAGAGGTTGTAGTGAGCCAAGATTGCGCCATTGCACTCCAGCTTGGACAACAAGAGCGAAACCCCGTCTCAAAAATAAAATGAAATAAAATAGAATAAAATAAAATAGAATAATAAAAGAATAAATAAATATTATACCATCAGCAATTACCCTTAATGTAAATAGTTTATGTGCATAATCCATTCTACCCACTAGGGGTCAGCAAATTCACATCGTTTCCTTCAACTTTTTTTTTTTTTTTTTTTTTGACCGACTCTCGCCCCGTCACCCCGGCTGGAGTACAGTGATGTCATTATCTCAGCTCACTGCAACCTCCGCCTCCCAGATTCAAGCAATTCTCCTGCCTTGGCCTCCTGAGTAGCTGGGACTACGGGTGTGCACCACCGTGCCTGACTAGTTTTTCTATTTTTAGTAGAGATGGGGTTTTACCATGTTGGTCAGGCTGATCTTGAACTCCTGACCTCAGGTAATCCAATCACCTTGGCTTCCCAAAGTGCTGGGATTACAGACATGAGCCACCACGCCCGGCCTGACTTCTTTTTTCAACTTCAGATTATATTAATAAATGTCAGGTGTACATCTGATGAGAACATACATTTTTATAAAGCATGTCAGAGTTACAGATAATTGTAAAAAAGGTAAGATACACATAAAGCATTTTGTAGGAGTTTCCCTTGCTTACCTTATCCTTTTTTCTAAATTCCAGATAGAAATTCATTAGATTTGTCCAGGCTTTGGCTCATGCCTGTAATTCCAGCATTTTGGGAGGCCAAGGCATGCAAATCACTTGAGGTCAGCAGTTCAAGACCAGCCCGGACAACACGGTGAAATCCCATCTCTACTAAAAATACAAAAATTAGCTTGGCATTGGTGGTGTGTGCCTGTAGTCCCAGTTACTCAGGAGGCTGAGGCAGGAGAATCAATTGAACCCAGGAGGTGGAGGTTGCAGTGAGCTGAGATCGTGCCACTGCACTCCCGCCTGGGACAGAGCAAGACTCTGTCTCAAAAAAAAAAAAAAAAAAAAAAAAAAAATCACGTTTGACAAAAAAAGCCTCTTAACCTTTAACACTCATTAGAGGCTTTCTTCTTTCAGATGCCTTTTTTTTTTTTAAGCCCAATGTCACTGATTAGGAGAATAAACTTTAATAAAAGGAATCCAAGTCGGTTCCAATCCCATAGGATATCTGAAAAACCACTAACCTGAATCATTCTAGAGACTGCAAGAGAGGAGTAGAGCTTCTCCTGGGCGTACCCCAATCCTCAGTTCCCTTTCTCCAGAGACCTAGCTACATTCCAGTCCAGCTACTCCCAGAAACAGGAGCAAGGCGTTGGGGGAACAGAGGGCTTAAGAATGTATCCTAGCTGTCTCTGGGATTTCAGGACAGAGTACTGCTTTTCTGCATATACCTCAGTTTAACCAACTTTTCCAAGAGCTGTCACCATATAAATGGTTTATCTAGTATTCATGAAGTTCTCTTAAGAGCAATATTAACATATTTTCTTTTCCTCTTCTTTTTTGAGATAGAGTCTCACTCTGTTGCCCAGGCTGCAGCACAGTGGTACCATCACAGCTCGTTTGCAGCCTCGAACTCCCAGCTCAAGCAATACTTCCACCTCAGCCTTCTGAGTAACTAGGGCAACCAGCAAACCACCACCCCTGGCTTTAACAAACCAAAAAAAGGACAAGGTCTCAGGCCGGACACAGTGGCGCAGGCCTGTAATCCCAGCACTTTAGGAGGCAGAGGTGGGTGGATCCCCTGGGGTCAGGACTTTGTGACCAGCCTGACTAACATGGTGAAACCCCGTCTCTGCTAAATACAAAAACTTAGACGGGCGTAGTGGCGCATGCCTGTAGTACGAGCTATTTGGGAGGCTGAGGCAGGAAAATCGCTTGAACCTAGGAGGCAGAAGTTACAGGGAGCCAAGATCATGCCATTGCACTCCAGCCTGGGCAAAACTCCATCTCAAAAAAAAAAAAAAAGAAAGAGAGAGAGAGTATCACTATGTTTCCCAGGCTGATCTCGAACTCATGGCCTCAAAGTGATGCCCCCACCTCAACCTCCCAAAGTGCTTGGTATTACAGACGTGAGCACCACACCAGGCAAGACAATTCATCATACTTTATGATATTTCTTTTTTTTTTTTTTTTGAGACGGAGTTTCACTCTTGTTACCCAGGCTGGAGTGCAATGGCGCGATCTCGGCTCACCGCAACCTCCGCCTCCTGGGTTCAGGCAATTCTCCTGCCTCAGCCTCCTGAGTAGCTGGGATTATAGGCACACGCCACCATGCCCAGCTAATTTTTTGTATTTTTAGTAGAGACGGGGTTTCACCATGTTGACCAGGATGGTCTCGATCTCTTGACCTCGTGATCCACCCGCCTCGGCCTCCCAAAGTGCTGGGATTACAAGCGTGAGCCACCGCACCCGGCACTTTATGATATTTCTACTAGAAAAGCATCTAAAGTCATAACACAAAACTGGTTTCTAACCAGCCCAGAAAAATGGATTCCAATTTTCAGTTTTTCTCGTGCTGAAATCTGATCTAGATTCAGAAACTCTGGGATTCAGATATTTTTACCAACAGAAAACAAATAATTTTATATTTTTATTTTCTGTACCAGAACCCACTGCAAGAAAATCGTATTGTACTATACCCTGGTATACATATATGGAAAACTCAGAGAAGTTCTATTAAAGTTTTACGAAATAATACTTTACTCTTGCAAAGCACATGCAATGCATCCTGGTATATTTGTTTTGGTCTTTCTTAATTCATTTTAAAAACTAATACCAGTTGTGACCCCCTAAATTGATTTTATGACCCCATTAATCGGTTGCATACTGCAGTGGTGTGTCCTCTAACCCTCCTGGGATCAGAGAAATAAAGAGATAAATTATAATTATGCTGAATGCCTTGAGGCAGAATGGAGTTTTCTTCATCAAGCTGAAGGAAATGGTCCTTTAGGAGTCACACTTTTGGGAGCTTTGTTATGGAGAATGGTGTGGGGGCGGGGTGGGGGGGTGGAACTCAAAAGCAGAAAAACCAAAAAGATACCTTTTGGATTTAGCTGGTTGTCCTACAATTTCACTTAGTACTGACATGACTTGACTTCTTTTTTTCTAATTTTTTTGAGTTTCTTTTTTCTTTTGAGTCAGTCCCACTCTATTGCCCAGGCTGGAATGCAATGGCACAGTCATGGCTCACAGCAACCTCAGCCTCCTAGGTTCAAGCGATTCTCATGCCTCAGTCTCCTGAGTAGCTAGAACCACAGGCATGTACCAGCACGCCAGATAATTTTTTTTTTTTTAACAGATGAGGTCTCCCTATGTCACCCAGGTTGGTCTCGAACTCCTGGCCCTGCTGCCTCAGGCTCCCAAAGTGCTAGGATTATGGGCATGAGAAGACTTCTTAGCCTGTCTTTCATTTTTCCACAGTTACATGGAGTCAAGGAATGCTTTTTGTAAGGACTAATGGCATTTCCTGAGTAAGACAGGAGATGCATAGAGAAGAGTGAAAACAGAAATGGGCATAGAGGAGATCTTGGGAAGGTGTTTCAGTAGTCTAAAACCACACACACAAGAAGCTTTTATGAATGGAATAACAGGATCGTGGAAACTCATGAAGCTGCTCCTATTTCTCACACTTTGGCAATGCATCTCTGTGTTGTAGGAAAGAGTCTTTTTTTTTTTTTTTTGGTAGCAATAGATAAGCAGGAAGGATTTTTTAACTTTGTTCATCTATATTTTCCTAATAAGAACCCAACAGAACCCCTATCCAAGGGTTCACAGGGTTCACCTACCTCCTCGTTGGCTGTTGACCCCCAGGAGTATCCAATCTGTAGCAAGGGAAAGAGAAAACAGATGTGAGGGACTGCAGCTCTGTACCTCATAGGCCTTTTATTAGACAAATCAGAAAACGAGGGAGATGGTTATACTTTATCTTTGTGACTTATTCCTACATAGCTCAATATAAAATGGCTCAGACCATTAGTGCTATGAACAAAACCAGCAGGAGTAGAAACACTTCAGAAAGACAGGTTCCTTCACTGCTGTGCGTTTGGCTGGTTAAAAAAAAAAAAAAAAAAAAAGGCAAGTTCCTGAGAACAAAACCCTGCTGCTCTCTTACCCACATTCCTGGCCAGAAATGGAGTCCAGCTCCACCGAGAGGCCCAGCAGCCCTTCTAGTGTTTCCTGCCTTCTGGCCCCACGGCTTCCCTGCTAGCTATGCTAGTGAACAAGGCAGAAGAATTAGTTTTCTCAATCTGCATCAGAAGAAAAAGAAAAAAAACACAGTAGGACATCTTTAAAGCCTGAAGTTCACTTTCTGTGTCCAATCTTCTAGCCAGATTCTGGAAAATCTGTGAAGATGGCTTTTCTCTTGTGTGTCAGTAAGGCATGTATTTTCTGCATGCACGTGTATATACCTGCATGTATGCTGGTACTAGAGGATATATTCCCACTGTTCTTCTTCAAAATTTCAATTTAGTCCAGCTTCTTTTTTTTTTTTTTTTTTTAATAGAGACGAGGTCACACTATGTGGCCCAGGCTGGTCTCAGTGATCCTCCTGCCTCAGTCTCCCAAAGTGCTAGGAATATAGGCGTAGGTCACCATGCCCAGCCCAGGCCTAGTTTCTTACTAGCTAGTCCCTCTGTGTTTGTGTTTGCATTTGTGTATCAGCCTCTTTTTTGTTTTGCAATTTGTTTGCTCGTTTATTAATGTATGTGACCCTCTTTGGGTGGTTAACATGCATTTGTGTGTCTAGTTACAGCTTAGTTTCATAACTCTCAGGAGGCCTTTCCTCTAGTCTGAAGTCTTGTCACATTCCTGCCCATTTTTCATTAACGCAAAATCTGTTATTTTCTTCTCTCTTGTAGGAGTTTCGGAGCTCCGTACCAAGGATCTCCACCGCTATTCCTCTTCAACCTCATTCCATCCCACCTCCTGCCACACACACGTATAGCTGGGGACCTGAGGGTTTAGGGAGCAAAGAAGAAAGGACTCACCAGAGGGGATGATGAATGCAGCAAGAAACAGCAGCACCTTGGATCCCAAAAGCAGCATATCTATAGGGGTGGCAGCAGAGAATGTGATGCTCAGGGGCACATCTGCATTTCAGCTCCAGGGGAAGATGCCTCTGGGTCCCTGTCTCTTTGTCTTCCCAGGAACTTTCTTCATTTTCCCTTATGACTCAAACCTTTTCTCTCTCTTCTTACCTTTCACCCAACATTCATCTCTCCCTCAAATCTGTTCTTTGGCCACTTACCATTATTCTTGGTCTTATTATTCTCTAATACCAAGCCAGAAGAAATTTTACATTCTACACGGTCCGTACTTGGCCCTACCCTTTGGCCTCTTTCGCCCCGATATCAAATCTTCCTTTCTCATATGATTGACTTTTTCATATCATCTGCTTATCTCGGCGTCTCCTTCATTTGAAATGCAGTTACTTGGAAGTCTGCTCAAGTCTAAGTTCAGTGACATTCTCCATTGCCCCTCTCCAGCCCTTTCACACACACACACAGACATACACACATCCCCTCTGTCTAGTTAGAGTTTTAGGTACCAAACAACTCACTGTCTATGGTGTTCTGCTCTTCCCGCCGACTCCTTTGGCTGCTCAATGTGTCTCTCTCCTCCTATGCTGTTCTTACTTTGGCTGGAGAATGAGGTGAACAGAGCCACTCCCTGGAAAGAACTTCGGATTTGGCCTCTGAAACAATGAGATGAGGGAGAGTAAGAAAGCCAGGCTAGGCGTAGAATGTGTGTTACTACCAGGCTGGGATGAGAAGGAGGATGGGAATTTGCAGTCGCTCACACCCTCATTCCAAACGTTATGACCACACTGGTGAGAGCTCTTGCTGCTCCCTGGAGGGGCTGGCCCCAGCTCATGTATTGCCTTTCTTCCATCAGCCTATTTTCCTCCTCTCACGATCTGGTCCCAGCTCCCCTTTTTTCCTGGCTTTCCTTCTTACCTAAAAGTTTTTTCTTCCCCTTGCTGTTTCTCTCCCTCACCGACTATCTTCCTTTTTTTTTTTTTTTTTTTTTTTTTTTGAGAGTTTCGCTCCTGTCGGACTAGGCTGGAATGCAATGACATCATCTCGGCTCACTGCAAACTGTGCCTCCTGGGTTCAAGCAATTCTCCTGCCTCAGTCCTCTATCTTCCATATTTGAGTCATTCCTTCATCCCTGTGGGAAGTAGAAAAGTTCCTTTTTAAAGTTTCCTTTCTTGTTAAAGAATAAGTGTGCTAATAACTTTGTGAAGCCCTATCCTATGTAGTTGTTAGACATGCCATGCTTACAGGCACATAGTACATTCTATGTCCTGTACTTTAACCAAGATATCTGTGCTGGACGTGCTCACAGCCATGTCCCAGCTCTCCATTGCTTTTACCTGTTTAAAAAAAGTTCTAAGTTGTTAGCCAATCGGGTTTTAGATTGTGAGGTCTGACTCCAGCTAACAGAGATCAGACACAGCGGTAAAGACGACCCCAAATGCGTAAGAAATACATTTGTGTGTTTCCCTTTGTTATTTCTACTCACGTAGCATGATGGCTAGTGAGAGTACCCCTCCTGCAGTCCAGGAAGTAAAAATTGCTTTGCTGAAAGATCCTTTGTCTCAGTGCTAATTTTTCTTTGCAGCACCGAGCATCTATTTCCAACATCTATTTCCAACAATCCCTCTTTTTCACTTTCTTTTTCAATATTCATCTCGTCAACACTAAGAAATTCCTTTTTATGTCTGTATTTCTTTTTCATCTCTGTCTCTTCTTGACCTACACATTTAGACTCTTCCTGTTTTTTTCCCCCTGGGAATATCCTATGCATTCTCACAACCAAGAAAACACAGATACCATATGAGTTTTGTCCAAGAGGAAGGCTGGCTGTCTTAGGGTCCTAAAAAGTTGAGGACATTTTCAGAACTCTCCAAATCATTTTCAAGTGTAGAGAAGTTCCATGAGAGGAGTGCGAGCCTTATTCTGTCTTTTGGCTTTGTTTGAGCTTAACTAAGAATCTTGGTTTCTGGGATCTTAAGGATAAAATGCAATCAGATGCCCAAAGAAAATTGAAAAGCAAGGCTATTGTGTTTGCCTTATATTCTACCTATCAATATTTTTCCCTAGAACATGTAATGTGTAGATAACACTTTCTCTAATCCAGGAATTTTTTTTTTTTTTTTTTAAAGATAGGGTCTTGGTCTGTTGCCCAGACAGGACTACAGTGGCATGATCACAGTTCACTGCAGGCTTGACCTCCTGGACTCAAGTGATCCTCCTGCCTCAGCCTCCTAAGTCGCTGGGACTACAGGTGTATGCCACCATGCCAGGCCAATTTATTCTTATTTTTTGTAGAGACAGCATTTTTCCTTGTTGCTCAGGCTTGATCCAGGAATTTTAAAGACTTCGTATTTGCTCTTCATCATCAAGACTCTAGTGATTAAACCACAAAAACATTCCCGCTTTGGATTCAAGAGCAAACTTGAATTACAGAAAATCAAGTCTGAAGAATAGTGGAACTTGTGTTGTATTTGACCGGAGCGTAGAAAGTTATCACAAGACAAACGTATGCCAGATTGCAGGGTCATT